CAAACTAATAGAAAATCTCTAATGTGACACATAAAATGAATTTTTACAGGGGCTGTAGGCACAGTGTACATGGCTACTACATGSAAACCTCAAGAAATACTCTATAAAGTGCTTCTTTCTCTAGCAAGAAATAGAAATAGCCATAAAGCTATTTCTGTTATTGAGGGGAATATGTCAAAATTACTCCAGTTCTGGAAGGCGTGGTAGCAAACCAGCAATTAACGTTTGCCTTTTCACTTATGTTACTGTCATTCAAGAACAGAATACATACAGTAGACAGGATAATTCCATTTCTTTATGTAGACCCTAATAAATTKTATTCAAGCCTGGGTCTGTGTTTTCTCAAAAACACCAGCTCCTGCATGCTTCTTCAGCTCCCTGCTGGCTTTGTCCCCGGACTGCAAGCTCTCTTGTCAGAACTGGGTATAGGACAGAAGGGTCTTTCTTTTGTACTTCTGAAGTGGATAGCATGTTTTTATCAGAATTCTAATCTTAATATGTATATAAAATAATGGAAATAATTTTCTCCTAAAAGGACTTTCATAAGTAGCTTATGGCATGCTGCCCTTGTTGTAGAAAAGTATGTCCTTGTAGATAAGAAATGTCAATTAAAATGTAAGCTTTGTGGAGGACAGATAGCACACATTTTTATATGCAAATTAAAAAAAAAAAAAAAACAGTGCATTTCTGGGTTTTGTTGTTTGAGTGTTTTTTTAGACACAGACATAAGTGGTAAAGGAAAAGTAATGTGCAGGAACTGAATCAGCATATTGTATAAGCACAGTAAATAACATCATAATGACTGTGTTATCTTATCATAGTGGTGCATAGTTTTGAATGCAAATGCTACCTCAAATACAGTCAATTATCTGCAATAAAGAGCATTCATAGTAGGAAATGTAAGAATAATTTTATATTCTTTTATTATTACAATTTGTTTTCAAAATAACAGCATAGATTTACACAAATCTGTGTTTCAGTTAACAGACACTTGCATTCACCAGCTTATGGCTTGCTGCTTGTATACTGGACTTTTAAAATATGGCAGGTAGCATGGGCTGAATGAGATGGAGACACAGTTACACACTTCCTCATGCCAATATCATGGGCCAGTGACAGAGGGCAAGAGAGAGTTCAGACAACTGCCCTGGTGACATAATTCACAGCCCGATTGTTTTACAATAATTTGATTTCAGGCCCAGCCAGGAAAAAACCTTCCTAAGATTGCCACTGCCTTGGGCACTCTGGGAAATTAAATTCTGAATYTCTAAAGACACATGAGAACAGAGCTGAAMATTGTTTCCATTYTAAAACTTTACACTCTAAAAGAAGTAGTATTTGTTCTTAATGTAATCTAAAAAMCCCTACAATTGAATAGCTTCTGTGGTAACAGCATGATAGTGGGGCTGAAATTAACCCTATGTTTGTATTGACCATATACAATCAAAACAAGGAAAATTTTGCTCTTCCCATCACAGTTCCATTCAAAAAAAAATACTTTTCTAAACTCCTTCTGTTAGCAGAACTTCTGCTGCTTTTCCCCTTTCTGAATTCCTAACACAATATAAATCAAACAAATKAAAGATAGCAAAGCCGGGAAAATCATTATAATCGCAAAACCATCAAAAAGGTCAACAAGAAGGAGAACAACAATAGGATTCTGGTAACTGTTTGGGAAGAAACTATTCTTGCTGCAGTGAGACTCACTGTTTTCATAACAACAAATTAAATACCAAGGTAATTCCCTGGAGCCCTTAGCAGTGTGGCTGTGGGGCAGCAGCCGAAGCCACTCCAGCACAATGCACAGAGTCATTAGGAAAACCTGCTGGCTGCTGGGCCATTTGCAGCTCCATGGTGCTTGAGGTTAAGCTGGAGTCTAGCCTAMCTTTTCAAGGCACTGCTTTGTTGCTCTTCTTTTCCTCCCATTCTCCCCTCTTCCTGTCCCCTGTCAGGCAGGTGTATTTTAGAATCCATTCATAATATGAGGTGTTGAGTATTGTCGCACTGGTGAAGGTGGCTGGAATGCTGGCTTCAACAGTAGGAAATGAGGGACAGCTGCACCTCTTTTTCAAGATTTTATTTGCTTGTTSGTGCCTTATTTGCACCCTGAAGATGTGCAATTGGTAGAGAGTAAGCTGTTCTCTTACACTCAAATGGCACAGGAGGCAGGTCAGCAAGGTAAGTGCTCTGCAAATATCCATTCTGAAAAAGTGCAGCATTTGTATTTGCTTTGGCTGTTCAACTTTTGAAAATGAAAGATGAAGACTGGCTTTTCTGAGACTCCTCTTACTCATCTATAAAATKTGATGTTCTATATATCAAAGTGTTTCAATGCTGCCAAGGAACTGCATGTATCAAAAAAACTTTCTTAATATTTTGCACTGGGAAGCTTAGATTTTCCTGACTAATGTGCRAAAATGAGTATAATTTATCACTTACAGGGTGAATAGATGTGTTTTCATTACCATGTCAGTCCTTTTCTGAGCAACAGGCAGTAACACAATTTGTAAATAGCTGGAGTGTAAAAAAAGAAAAATCAGATTTGCTAAAAAATCCCCTCCACGAAATGTCAGGTAAAGAACACACTGCAGCATTGTAATTGTTGGGGTGCTTGATCCCTGCCAATCGACAGATTTTAAATAAGTATTCTTGTGCAATGAATAGCTATAGAAGTTTCACCAGGTAATAAATACCCATGTAACAGCAATAGGCAACTTTATCCTCCAAAACTGTTCACCACGTAGCCTGAGCCTTCGTTTGTAAGGTCTAAAATATGTATGTTCACTGTGTTGTTTCATGGCATTTTCAGGTAAATTCCTGCTACCTTACATTGCACCAAGCCCAGTATCTCCAGTTCTTTGACTGAGGCACCTAGATGGTATAACTTCAYGATTTGATGAGATTCACAGCTCAGAGAAACAAAGACTCAGAGTGGTGGTAAAGAGGGATTTGCTCCTGCTCCTTCTCTGGASTCATCCGTTTCTTTTTTCCTAGCTTTTCCATGCTGTAATGTCAGGCTGATTGCCTTTGTCCTGGAGTCAGGTACTGCTGGGGCCTTCTGACCCATACTTAAATCTTCTGCAAGTGGAAATAAAGGAATTGAGGGGAATTTTATAAAGATTCTCAWCTTCAAAATAAATTGTCACATCAACATCAAAGCTAGAAATCAAGAAGCCAGATAGAAGAAACTAGTCTGAAAAGCTGAATTTAATCTACATTCAATTCTAAACCAGGTATCTGTCTGTCACCTACGTACTCAAGCTTTTCCCTCAGATCAGGTAGCTTCTGCACCTAGTCCAGAACTTCTGAGTTAAAGACACTTTTAATTTTTTCTTTGGATCTACCTAGAGATTTCAAGTGATCTGTCAAATGCATAAATTAATTGTTCAGTGACTTTACTGCTAACACTTCCTACTTCAAACTGGATTTGAAGAGATAAAAAATATAGTAGTTAATTTCCCACCAATGCTTTGTCATTGGAGACCACTACCATGCTCCAACCATCATTTTCTGCAACTGCACATTTTATTCCTTTCAGTAGGAAAATAAAATGCTGCAGACTTAAATATCTGTCGGATTCAAGAAAACCTGTTCTGGCTCAATGCATGTCCTATTTTGCAGTGTAGACTCTAAAAATCACTTTAGCAAATCAGTTCCCTTTTCCCCGATGAGCCTTTGAACTGCAATTGCAAACACAAATAAGCRCAAGGAAACTCCACTCAGTTTCAGAAAGGGGAGCTGTGAATGGCTGAATATCAAGTTMTCTGGGCATTCGGGTGCTTTAAATGATATACACTGGATTTTGCTTCACTTCACATGAAGTTCCAGGGTAGAACAGGTTGGTGAGAATATCACAGAGATATGGAACGCATTCGATGAAGAAACTGAAAAAGCTGCTGGGAAGCCTTAGTTTCACTTTGGTTGCCTAGTATGCAATATAATGAAAACAGCATTTCCTGTTCATGAAGCAACTTCTGCCCTTACTTTTGCTGAATTCCTACCAGGGGTAAGTTTTCTTGGAATGGTGGGGAAATAAACAATGAACCAGATATAYAAACAGTAGGTATTCTGTGATGGCAACAATAATGTGGATGAAAACACTCCCCAGACCATGATCTAACTTTATTRTAAGTTAGATGCTGGCCTTTTGGTSCAATGTATCTTAATTTTTYCTGAGTTCTAACACAYAYGTTTGCAGAGGTCTGCTTGCCAGTGGCCAGATCAACCTAGTTACGAAAGAACAGTTTTATTTAAAAGGAAAAACAAGTTTGTTCTCTCCAGGAAAACATCCTCCTCCACTTCCAGGGATTTACAACACATTAAGGAGACCATAATCACCACGACTCTGTTAAAAACATTTGTCTGAAATTACCAAACAGTAGGATGCACAACAGGACAGAGAGAAGCTTCTATTTCAGGCAGAGGAAAGCAACACAAATCTGTTCTTGTTTTCCTAATTGATAAAGTTGTCTGAAACTCACTTCATCATGATTGTCAAATGAGATCTGTGGAGAAGACCCAGCGTGAAAATGGAGGGTTGAAAGTCCAGCCCTGTTGAATGCAACTGCAAGGTCCCAACAGGCTTTTATTTTGTGCTTTGTCTTYACATATTATGTAGGACATTATTAATTGACTTCATCTTTCAAAAGTCCCTTGACTTTTCGGAAAACATTTACACCTGATACTGGTTTTGCTTTCTGGAAATGAAAGAATCACCATTTAATCATATGTTTCCTGTGCATTCCACCTGAGCACWGTTGAGGCAAGCTTTCCTTCTAATTACAGAGGTGAGCTGAAGAACCAGTGATTAAAATAAAATCAGCTTTTCCTTAAATACCGTTGTACTTCAGGAGAGTGATCAAAGTCACAAGTTGCTTTCAGAGATATGTTAATTTACAGCAAACAAACTTCTTAAATGAAGAACAGTGACCCTCTTTTTCCTGCTTAGATTTAGAAAAAAAAAAAAACCAAAACCCAACAGTTCAGTCTACTGAGAAATCTTTGTATTAAAAACCCTCTGCCTTCCTTTCAGGTTAACAGGGGACTCAGCCCAAATAAGGCTAAAACATTTGCCAAAAAGCCTCAGGGAAGATTGTGTTCTGTCTATAATTTTGTTGTCAGAATAACATCCATTGATTTTTTCCTTTCATTTTCTTAAAGGTTTCTTTTCAGTAAGGAGAAGCAGAGTTTTCTAGCATYCTCATCACTTGCAAAGCACTTTTAGAATGGTGAAAGAATCTGTGTGATATACATGTACACGTGGTACACAGGCACAGGTATGTAAAGCATTACACATAAATCTTTTTGTTTCCTTCCGGTTCCTGGTGGCTTGCGAGGCATGATTACAGCATCTGAAACCAAAACCAAACCCAGAACAATTTGTCAGATTTACAAGGAGTTTTAGTAACCCTGATAAGATTTATGCATCATCATTTCAGAGAAACCAGAATGARGTACAAAGTCCAATTGCTCCTCAGGGCAGCTGGAAAAGCTGATGCCTGGGAAGGAGAGGAGTGCACAGCTTATCCTGCCATGGGCTCTGCTCTGTGGGGATGCAGGAACTGGATCAAAAAATGTTCCCTCTAAGTATGTCTAACACAGTTGTGGTAACAGGGAAAAGGCCACTCTGTTTCAAGAGATACCTTGTTCTTTATCTGGGAACAGGTAAATCTCTGTATCCCTGTAAAGGCATATCTCTGTCTCCTCAGCATCAGTCACACTAACCTACAGTGGAGTTTTGCTGTGTGCCAACATGAACACATTTTCATTATAACTGCAAGAGATGGCAGCAAAGCCTTCTTCCAAAGCAGAATGCTGACAGAAAAGCAGCTCATTAAAATACCTGTGAGGTATTCAGGCTTCTGATTAAGTGCAAAAATATTCAGGGSATATCTGCTCTGTGGGCCACAGAAGCAGAGTGTCACAGGTTGTTTTTCTTTGGCCATAAGTGATCCTATTGATTATTATTTGGAGTTATCCTGTCATTTAAAATCAGAGTGCTCAGCAATTGAGCTCAGATCTGACACAGACTGTTTTAGCTATCCAAAACAAATTATAGGATGGGCTTGACCCATTTCTTGTGGCCAGGACACTCTGAACTCACTTTGACTCAGTACAGGTGTTGAAATCACTACAGGATTATCCCTGGAGGTGGGTAATCCTTTAAAGGTTCAGAGCTTTGGGTTAGATAAAAATCTAAGCATTTGGATGTTTATCTGAAACCTTATCTCAGTCATCTAAACTCCTGGAGGCTGAACACCCATCAGTTGCTCATCTACAAGTAAAAAAGTAACAGGGTCTCTTGTTTCTACAGAATCATAGCTTGATCCTGACATCTCTGAATAAACAAAACCTCTCATTGATATTAACCTGCATTTAAGTCGGAGTTCTTGGGAATGGGAAGTTGTCTTCAGCTAAAACTGACCACAAACATTATCTGATTGGGGTGGAGGAAGAAGTTTTGGTAACAAAATACAGATTTTTTTTCTCATAAAATTCACTCACAGCAATTTTTTTTTTTCACTGAATATCTGTATGCATGAAAATTGCTAAAGAAGCTTTGGCACTTTTCCATTCTTTTCTTACCTAGAAAAAAAAAAATCTTGATAATGAAAATAATGAAGTGCCATAATTTTAAGTCTATACTGGCATTTTGACTCAGGTCACTTTAATGGAGGCTGTGTGCTGTGGTACCTCACAGAAGGCATAAGAAGGACTGGGAGTGTGAAACACGGACRCTAGTTCACAGCACCAGATTATGTCAGTGCAGAGATATTTTGCTTTTCTACTATGGTAGATTTTTCCATTTCACCCCAAATATTTTGCTACTTTCTGTCATGTCAATCAACAAAACAATTTTGCTAGCTGGTGAAAAATTAACTTACATCTATTAAATTGTGTGAGAGTATAATATTTTTGAGGAGGGAGGAGGGTAAGGGGAGAGTTTGAGTAATTACTCCTATCCTTTGCTGGTATTCTCATGTTACTTGGCTGTGGGATGCAGCCCAGGCTGTATCAGAGGTGTATGTTTGAAGGAACAGGGCACATCCAGGATATCTAGTGTGCCTTGACAAATTTCTGAGTTAGGACCATTGCTTTTTCCTCAAGGCTTGCTGAAACCAGAAGCACTGCTAGCTCACAGTTCCCACACCTACCAGGAAAGAAAAACTGCCACAAAGGAAGAAATGGAGAAAGGAGAGAGGTAATTCATCAGGTGAGACAGTGGCTGGAAACATAATAGCTATCAGTTCAGTTTTCCATTCCATCACAACTTCTCTCCATCTTGGAGGACTCCTTTGGCCTCTGTTTTCCTTATTGACTGTGGAGGTTTGCACTTTTGTCTTAAGAGGCATTTAAAGATAAACTTTAAAAAACCCCACAAAATTACTCAATTTAACACAGTAACAGGAGCTAGAGATGCTTAGGGAACAGACAAGAAACTGGACTGCACTGCTTTTTGGCAGACACATACAGCACTTTATCAAGGTCTGGCCCACTTTTCCATGCTGCTGTTCTCAAGTTGAGCATTTCCATGCCTCTAACACATTAGTACAATAGAGAATTAACATTGTTTTGCAGTATTTTAGAAGCYGGGAAGAGATTCAAGCACTTTCCTTTTCCTACTGATATGCCAGTTACAGTCCCAAGTTCACAGGGCAATTCTGTTCATTCCTGCACTTTTGGAACTGCACTTACAGCTGCCACACCACTCTCCTAACAGCACTCTTGCTTTGGGAATTAAAAGTGCACTTATTTGTTTGTTTTGGGACAACCAGTAGCATCACAAGATTATTGGGCATTAATTAGAAAAATGTTAGTATGACTCTTCTTTGATATGGCAATTTCAAGTTGATACCTGGAGGCAAAGTGTTACTCAGAGTTTCACAGAATAATTATTTTCCTCCTGTCCATGGCACAGTTGTCTCTTTGGCAGTGAAAAGAGCTTGTATGAAAAGGGAGGAGATGATTTACTTTGTATTATTAGATTCTGTGGCTCAGGAGAATAATWATTCCACTTACGTTGAAGAAAACTATTGTCATTCTCATGGCATTTTTCAAGCATCATTGTGCTTTTGATAACTTATTCACTGTCAAGCTTCCCTATTTAAGCAATACACTTGTTTTCCCTGGTTAACTGCCTTTTATATGTACAGATGTTGTTTCTCATCAATGTTTTATGCTTCAAATAAAAATGCTAATTCAGTTGATGCAGAAGACGACTTTTTTTCTGGGTAGCTGCGCTGTCACCAAGGTGATTTCAAGTAGGTCAGGAAAATGTTACATTTTATAAAAGTCATTTCTCTCTCAGTTCTGTTGCTCGTGAGCACTGCTCTGAAAATCCTACCTCTTGCAGAGGCTGCCCAGAAATCAGGGCCTTTCTATCAGAGTTGCAGAGTAGAGTTTTTTGCATGTCAGTGACTCATGAATCCAAGGCACTCTGCTTACCTGCTSCTCAGCCTACCCTAGGTTCTCCCAGCCGTGCTGGTGTGCGTTGCAGGAGCAGGATTGGGATCAGGAGAGTGCACCACCCTTCAGAGGCACGCATTCCTCAACTGCAAACACATCTGGGCTCCCTCTCTCCCTTCATTCCGTCGCCCACATCACTCTGGGGGAAATTCTTGCAGGATGCTTCCTGTTTTACACTTAATCATCTCTCATCTTTAAATTCCATTAAACTGGGCGTTATGAAAGCTTCCAATGATTTATTGAGAATTTTTTTTTATGGAACTACTYGATACTTGCAGTGAGTGGTGTCCAGCCTTGTCAACACCTGAATTTTTTGGCTGAGGTTTCTCAGCACAGTGGTAAGTGGTGCTGGGTCTTGCCCACCTTATGAATTGCCACAGAAGTGCTGACTAAAGGAGAGCTGCAGGGGAGCCGGAAAGGAACTTTTTACAGTGGTGATAGGGCAAGGAGGGATGGCTTTAAACTGAAAGAGGTTCAGTTTGGATGACAGACAAGAGATTCCTTTTTTTTGTGGGTGGTGATGCACTGGAACAGGTTGTCCAGAGAAGATATGGATACCCCCTCCCTGGAAGTGTTCAAGGCCAGGTTGGATAGAGCCCTGAGTAACTTGATCTAGTGGAAGRTGTCTCTGTCATGGCAGGGGGATTGKAACTACATGATCTGTGAGGTCCCTTCCAGCCCTAATCATTCTACTGTTCTAGGGGTAAAAACTGGTTGCTTTGGGAGAACAATACACCATTAGACAGGCACTGCTCTGAAATTGTGTGCTGAGGCCTGCAGTGAGGATTTGTGCTCATTTCATAATTTTCTTGTTTTYTTGCAGGAGATATGGAGAGATTTAACCTTGTGGAAATTTATATAAACCCATATGGTCCCAGGAGCCATCAAGGGTACATATCGCTGTGCTTCAATTTCCCGCAGCTACTTGCACATACCCCTCTCACGTTCCATGTACAAGCAACAAAAATGAAGGCTGGAGATGCCAAACATTTGCAGTGGCTGCCTTCCACAAATAATGCTACCAACTCAGACACTTCCTACAGATTGTTTAAAGATGACACATTTTTCAGTTAACTCAAAAAACGTGACWGCTATTAAATGCCCTGGCTGTAGATATTTCTTTGATAAGATGYGGCAAGAATTGCTCAGCTATGTGACATAGTAACAAGCAGCTTTCTGAGCTACAATCCACAAGATAGAAACTCAGATGACCCAGATATTAAGCAGAGTATTGACCATCATTTCACAAGTGGTAAAAGAGGTAATAAAACTGCTTGTGGCATCATTGTTGTATTTAAATGGAACTTGTTTCTATAGTCCATGAGAGAGAAAAACCATTTTATTCCACAATGGTAAATGAAGAATAGGTAAAAGATGCATTCCCAGGTAGGAAACACATTAAATAGAAGACACGGTGGAAGTAGAGGGGACGAGTGAACAGAATAGAGTGTCAGGACTAGTAACAGGGAGCTGTCAGTCCATGTATGCATAAATAAATACACACACATAGAGCCCATTCTAAATACAGACAAGTTTTCTACCTCGTGCAATTCATATAGACAGGARTCTCAGCTCAGTGGATGTTATTCAAAGTATTCCACCACCTGCTGGAAAAAACAGCAGGTTTTTTCTGCTGTGTCAAGACAGGCAAACTGGTTCAAAGTACTTCAGCCAGCAAACATGTCTGCAATGCAGCCCAGCCTAAAGGCAACAACAGACGAATCATTTAATGAAGCTGTCCCATCAGGCTTAATTTGAGCCCTTAAAATATCTTGCRTGATTGGACCTTGGGGTGAGACACATACATTATAAAAGTACATTATGTCTTAAATAGTAAATTCTTTGGGGCRGGAATCCTGACTTCCTACAGGTCTCTATTTGCAGA